GCAATAGCTATTTCAATCATTTTTTGCGTCTTTCTACTTACACAAGAAACACGCACACACACACACACACACAATCACACAGGCATACATACACACACGCATACACACACACACATATACACACATATACACAAACATTTACACACACATACACAAACACATACACACACAAGCATACACACGCATGGGCGCAGTGTGCGCTTACTATGAGAACTTACTTTTTTAACTTTTTTGTGGACACACGATCTTCATGAAACTTTTAGATTATGATTATAACATGGATATGCATGTATTTGCCAAAGCACAAGTCTCTAGTATTTGAAATACGCTTTTTAGAATAGTGATGGTGAGGGGGTGGATATAGAGGTGGGGGGTAAATTTTAACAAAAACCGAAATTGCATAAATTGCATATAAGCATACATTAAATTTTGTAGACTCTAGCAATAAAGGTGTAGAAGATATAATTTTATAACTGGTTTCCGATAAGGTTTTTTTATCGATAAAAAATATCGGGATAAGTTATCGATTTTTAATGATCAACTCGATATCCGCGCTGTAAATACGGACATTTAAAAAAATTTTGAAGTCTCTAGCTCTTATATCTTCGGAACTCGACGCGTTCAAACATACGGACAGACGGACAGGGCCAAATCAACTCAGCTCGTCGCCCTGATCAAGAATATATATACTTTGGGTCTACCACGCCTCCTTCTGCCTGTTACATATGTACATTTCAACAAAACCATTATACCCTGATTTCCCATTGAAAATGGGTTCAGGGTATAAAAATTAATAATAATACAGAAAGCTTCTTAAATCAACTTTTAATATAGCAATGTGATTAAGCTCAGCTTTAGCACATCCCTTGCAAAATGAAATCTTATCATAGTTCTGCAAAAAGCAGTGCATTCTGCCTAGCTTTTGGCTACGGTTAAAAAAAATTTTTTTTTCAGCTGAACTGTAATTTTGGCCATGTGCCTCCCGGGCTCTATTGCGGCATTCCCATGGCTAATATAAACGGCTGCAGCACACACTCACACAAACATACAGACACACATACTGTTAAACGACTGTGCACGAATTTCCACGCATTGCTTGTCTTAGCTTTTCGTTCATTTCGTGTTTATTTATTTTCTCGTATTTCGCTCTTGTCGCCAATTTCTGCGAATTTTCGACATGTCGCATGTGTATGTGTGTGTGCTGTTGTTGCTGTTCCTGGTTTGCCATTAATGTGCTGCTGAGGGCATCGCATGGGGTTGGCCCGCTGCGTTGGGCTGTGGGCTGATGCGTTTCAATGAGGGCTGATTCGGAATCTGATTCAGTTTCTGGCGCCTCGCTTCGTGTGCGTTACTCACTGGCGCATTAAGTACACTCATCCTTGCATATACATATATTAACACTTGCGCAAACACACACACACCCACACAAATACATAAACATATTTACATATATACGAACACTGGGAAATAGGAAAAGAACCGAGCACAGCAGAAAGAGAAACACAAACAGCTAACTGTAAACTCAGTCGAGGCCGACACAGTTGGCGAAGGCGAAAGCGAATGAATGAATGGTGGAAGGTTGAAGAAAGGGGGAGTCGGATAAGTGGAAAAGGGAAAAGAGAGCATACATTTTGACTTGCTTTCGGGGTGTTTGGTCTGGGAGCCACAAATTGGTGCAGGATAAGTGGTGCGAGAGATGCCTGGAGATGGCTTCCATATATATATGCGTGTGTGTGTGTATTTAGGTGTAATTGTGGATCGCTTGGGTTGCTGACGGACTACCAGTTGTTTCTGTGGTGTTGACGCTGTTTTCGATACTGTTGTTAAGGTCCTAAGGTGGACGATTTAATGAAGAATAACACAAACACATACAGGCACAGAGAAAGAGAGAGAAAAGAGAGAGAGAGAGAGATAGAGATAAAGACGCACAATGTAAGAGTTGCTATTGACCATGTGCAACTTTCAGCGATACGAACAACAACAGAAGTGACAACAGCATCAGCAACAACAATAACAACATGGCCATACTGCACTTAACGTTCGGCGTTCTGCTGATGAATTTCCTCTGCAGAAAAAACAGCTGAGAATAGGTAAATGCTTATGGAGTACAGCGAGGTGGGGAAGCTATCGCAGCAGTAACGCATGGATAGATAGATATATATACCTACATGCATACCCACCTACTATGACATATGCAAGTGCAACGTGTTTTCAAACTGGTAATTAGAACGTCAGAGTGGCGTCCGCATGACATACTGACTGGTCGCCTCACTTGCTTAGTCAGGAATACAAAGGGATATCCACATAGTATGAGCGAATTAAGCAAGGGGATAGAACGCTTTCATCATACAACCAGTTGCTGTAGCAATGAACTAAACACCTAAAGCTAATCCAGTGCCCATTAAATAAGTAGGAAGGTAATTGCAATTCGTCACCGACTTGAATAAGTAAGAGTGCTCTAGTCGAGACTGCAGATATTCTAATCATGCTGAAAGAACGTAGTCAACTTATTGATTATTCTCGATCAAAAAGAAATCGGATGAGTTGTCGAAAACAATATGATAAACTAGTACTGCGTATGGTATACACGAGTATTCAGCTCTCTAGCTTTTATATCTTCTGAGATCGGCTTCCTCATACGGACGGACGGACAGGGCTATATCGACTCAGCTCGTCGTCCTGATCAAGAATATATATACTTTATGGGGTCTGTGATGATTTCTTCTCCTGTTACATACTTTCCACAAGACCATTATACCCTGATTTCTTATTGAAAATGGGTTTAGGGTATAAAAAAATGGATGGAGTTTTTATAAATACATATAAGCTAATAGATAGACCATGATTATGTATGTATCTTACAATTTTAACAATTAAGCTTTCGTCTCCAGGGCTTTTGGCATATCAGATGTTGTGCTTGGTTGGCCCAAGCATTATTCAGAATATGTCAATTCCAATTGGAGATGCATCAGTTGCATTCCCTTGAATGTAGCAACGAACAGTGAACAGTGGGCAACCCTACATACGACACAATCCTGACTCCTGGCCAGGCCAGACATAAAGTGACAGCGATCGTTGGCTAAATTAATCAAACGCAGCAGGAGCAAAATTTGGATGGTGCGGGTGGGCGTTAGCAATGTGGTTGGAGGTGTAAGCATTAACGTGGCGCCATACATAGAAAATACCGGATTTTGTCGACCAATATTCACCTGCACATCTCTCATCAGTCATCAGTCGTCACTCCTGAACAAATCCTTAAACTAACTTTATTTGTCTGCTTTTGCAGTTTGCCACCTCCATCACCGGCGAACACGCCCACCAAAGGATTCGATGGCAACTTCAAGCTAGAGCCGAATCTGAGCGTTAAGGACTTTGCGACACCGCCAGAGAATGGCAATGGCAGCCTGGAGTCAGCTGCTAGCGTGTCTGCTGCTATGGCCACGCCGACGCCGCCACAGCGCAAGCGCTACAAGAAGCGGGTCCATTTCACAACTGATGCACTTAATGGCTATGCCGGCGCTAAGGGTAAAGCTGGTCCAGCAGCTGGTTACAACAACAACAATAACAACAGCAGCTTCGGCAGCACCTCTAAGACGAAGAAGCAGGAAGCGAAGGCAGCAGCAGCTGCCCTCAAATCAGGCGCAGCAGCAGCCGCGGCAGCCGCCGCAGCAGCAGCCGCCTCATCGGCACTGCCGGAGGTGCTAGACTGCCGCATCGCAGAGAAGATTAAGAGCGAGCTGGAAGCATGCAGCAAGGAGTCGCTACCAAGTGCACTTTGCCTCAAAAAAGCTGCAGCGGCAGCAGCGGCTGCTGCTGCGGCGGCACAACGCAGTGACGAGGATGAGGACGAGGAGGAGGAACGTCAGCACCAGCAGCAGCAACAACAGCAGCTAGCAGCGGCAGCAGCCGCCGCAGCAGCAGCAGCCGCTGCTCATCCGACCACAGTAGCACCGACGATGCTGCCCAATGCGGATACGGTTGATGCCTGCAGCGCCAGCAACGGCCAGCTAGGAAGCTTTCATGTGCGCTCCAAGAGCCAAAATAGCAGCAAGAAGTCCCAGTCCGCCAAAGCAGCAGCTGCTTCGGCACCGGCTATGATGCCACCGAATAGCTATGACGAGCCCGAAGACGATTCGGCTGCTGGTCCGGGTGATGACGATGAGGAGGACGACGAGGAGCTGGATGAGGAGGCGCTAGCGCGTGAAATGAAACTGGAGCAGAACTTTGTGGAAGAGGAGGATGAGCACGACATTGCGTTCAGATCGCAGCAGTCGTGCCGCGAGTGCTCCATCTCGCATGATCACAAGCTGTGCCCGCTGCGCAATGCCTGTGGCAATGTGACGGACGCAGTGGACCTGGCCGAGTGGATTGAACGCCGAAATTTGGAGGCGCTAGCCAAATTGAAGGCGGATGCCCAGCGGCAGGCGAAGGTGGGCAGACCGCGCCACGTTGACGACGAGGATGATATGGAGGACATGGACATGGACGAATCATCGCAGCTGTCCGAGCTAGAGACCAAGCCACTGATAACATTCGCCGAGGCTTCGGTGCCCGCCGAGTTCGAGCTTCACAACGTCGAGCCGAATGTCACCGGCGTCTTCGCCCGCACCGATGTCCGAGCCTACACGAAGCTGGGGCCGCTCATCGGACAGGCGGTGCAGACCAGCGAGGTGCGTGAGGGCAGCGACATGAAATGGATATTCGAGATGTGCGAGGCCGGCGCTGACAAATCCTATTTACTCTGCTGCGATAACCCCAATGCCTCCAACTGGCTACGCTTCATCCGCCCAGCGCCCAGCTACGAGGAGCGCAACGTGAACCTCGTGTCCATCGACCGACAGGCGTACTTTGTGAGCTGTCGGGATTTACGCAATGGCATGGAGCTGCTCTACTGGAGTGACGACTGCAACACTATGTGGCGCAAGAAACACACCGAGAAGACAAGTAAGCCTATCATTCAGCCAACCATCATAAAATTTCTTCTTCTTTTGCTTTTTGTTCGCAAGCTATCAACAGTGAACAACAGTGTGGAAGGTTTGCTTCGACTTCACAGCTAATTAGTAATTTCTATTCCGTCGCAGCCACACATTGTTTGAGCTAATGACACCTATTATCAAGTGTTTTGACTAACATTCAACTCACAAATTTCTCCATTATATCCTCTTCCTAAAAAACAGACTGCGGCGGCTGCAACTTGAAGTTTGAGCACCCACTCTACTACCGTACGCACTGCTCAGTTTTTCACGATCCATCGATGAGCCTCACCATACGGAAGTACCACTGCAAGGTGTGCGGCGAGGCGGTGCTGGGCAAGGACAACATTATGAAGCATGCGGCCGAAAAGCACGATGGCAAGGGGGCGTACCAGTGTCAGTTCTGCAACAAATTCTTTCTACGGCTCAACTACCTGGAGATGCATCGCACCTACGGCTGTGCCTCGAATCCAAATCGTTCGCGGCCCGTTTGTGATTTCTGTGGTCGGAAATTCTGCCAGCCGCAGAAGCTCAAAGCGCATATTAAGCGTGTCCACAGTGGTAAGTCGGGCATGCTACTCCGCCAATGCCAGTCTCAGACCCAACCCCAATGCCAATCCCAGCCCCAACTCCAATCCCAATCCCATTTCCGCAACCCCACCTCTAGTCAACAAACATAGATCGTAAATACTTGCGTAGATGTCTGTATATCGTAAACATAAGCAAGTCTAGCGGCGTATAATGTAAATCCTTTATCGTAGGCTCGTATTATAAACAAATACGCCAACCCCAACTTTGTTGTGCCGCTTCTCCACACTCCTATTATAAATAAGCCCTTATATTAACAAATATCGTATCGTATGTACTAATATCGTAAAATAACGCAACCTGCTTAGCCGTAACAATTAACTAACCATTAAAGCGCACAGACACTCACCAACGTCAGTCATAACTTAAACACACACACACGGACACATCTATGATCGCTCATTCTCATGGTTTTTCAGTTGGATGCCGAATTGGACGAAACCTTTTTTGTATAAGCTTGGTTCATTTGGTTTACCCTCTTTAGTTGACATACATCACAGAGATCATATTATGTACATGATCCTTCTATATTATTATCAAATTGTTTAATAGATTCAACTTTTCATTTGGACGAGTTGCGTAATGTGTAAAACATTGGAACCCTATTATTATTATAATCAAATAATTATTACATATATCAGATTTTTATTATATATATATGTACGTGCAAAGAACCTTTACGGAAGATCACAATAACGATTTCGATATGACAAATTTAAAAAAAAGTAGGTCGGTTTAAGCTCCTGCAAGTATTTAAAGTTGTCATAAAGCAACCGAACTGCTTAGCAGCTATGTACATAAAAATTATTGACAGTCATAGTATTATCTCAAAATATACGGCAATTTACTTTAAAGGGGGCTGGCTATCCATAAACGAATTTGTTACACGAACATGTTCGCGAACATCATTTTAAAACAAATTTCGGACTGTGAACAAGCCAGCGGAAGAAAACAAAATCGAGCTTAATGGCAATGAATGTTTATTTAAAAGAAAAGAAAGCACCTGACTTTGCGCCTCTTTTTATTTTTTCCAGTTCCCGCTTGTATGCAGCGTGCAGACAATTTATTTTTATTTATTTATTTTATTTTATTTTTTTTTGTTTTGATTTGACGACATTAATTGTGGCGTTTTCTTCGACAACTTTATATTTGAATTATAATTTGTCCCATGATTTGTTGCGCAACTTTTTATTTTGATAGTTTTCGCTTTTATTTTGCCACAAAGCCGGCTCATTTTGAAAACAATCAAGAAATTTTCTGTTCATTTTGGCCTATGTTGACTGACCGAAATATTCCTAGAAATGATATTCGTGCGAACACTCGAATCCATTGTCAAACACGTTCGCACGAACATCCGTAAGATAGAAACATTTCTATTTTTATGCGAACTGAAACAGAACAGAAACAAACGGCGAACAAAATTTTCGTATGAACACTCCTATCCACATTCGAATATTTGACTTACACAACATGTTTGTGTAACAAATTTGTCTGTGGACGTGTAACAAATTCGTCTGTGTCTATCAACCATCTAGGAACTCATAATTAGACACATAGAAGCACTAATATAGAACAACATTCACAGCATTCGTAAACCTCATCATTGTATAATCGCTTTTAGTGAATGATTTGCTTTGTGTTTGATGATATTGGTCTTTGATATTGAGTTTTTAGCAGTGACTGGACCATCCACTGATACACTTATACGCTATTTGGTTCGTTCGATCTAGTGACTTATGCTTTCTGTGTATTTATGTAAATGGCTTACGTTTTGTGATTTGTGTTTTTTTAGTTGGGTTTGTCGATTTGCCTATAAATTATATTTCTGTACTCACTAATTTTCTTTCAAAATCACCACAATCCGAAAATTTCATTTTCTTCATACAATTTCATTTTAGATATGGCTGAAGTTTTACGAGATTTTCAGTGTAAATTATGTTCAAAACTTCTAGGATCGCGTGCGGCACTGCAGCGCCACTCGAAGGAGGTGCACAGCCGCAACTCGACCGTGGTCAGTTGTCCGCGCTGCCAGAAACTCTTCCAAAATCGCAGCAACCTGAAGATACACATGCTCACACACTCGGGCGTGCGGCCTTTCAAGTGAGTAAGCCGATTATCGACATCACTAAAAATATTTATAGTATATAGTGAGACGTATATCCATTTCTTCCATTATTTCTCTCAGTTTCCGTCTTTTGACGGCTAATTAAGCATAGTCTTTAAAGATTCTTCTAGCCTTCCCATCCTTTTTATACTTATTCACGAAAGTGAAACGAGTATATTGGTTTTGTGCAATGTCCGTCTGCTAACGCAGTTTATTTCTGCGCTATTGAAGCTAGAGATTTGAAATTAGGAACACAACTCGTGTATATCTCCGATTTATAAAATGTTAAAATTTTCCGGATCCGCTCACTAGGGGCGTTGCAAATCGAATAATGCATTTTCTGATATGCCAGAAATCATATTAGTTGAAGGGATAGAGAGCTGCAATTTGGAATGTAAACTCGTGTTGACCACGCAAGATCACAAGCTATAACGGATATATCTACGCCCAATGGGGACGTGGCAAATCGGATAAAACTGTATCTCCTAGAGTTTTAAAACTAGAACGGTGAAATTTTGCACGTAAGCTAATGTTATGATCTATAAAGATTATTTAAACTTTTTATATCTACGCCCACTAGGAGCGTGGAAAGACGGACCTGGAAATATAGTGATTTTCCAAATTCTGCTATATTTTGGACAGTATTGATACAAGAGACATCAAATTTTATAGATATACTCAGGCTGACCGCCCAAGAAGAAAGCTATGGCGGATATATGTCCGCCCACAGGGGGAGTGGGAAACCGCAAAAGTTTATATCTCCTATAGTTTAAGAGCTAGAAGCTTCAAATTTTGTTAGTTGAGTTGAGTAACGTCCTCTATCGATGACCCAAAAGTTATTGTTACGCCTTTTTAGGGGCGTGGCATATCGAAAAATACCTACCGCGCTACCGTCCGTCACTCAGCATGTCCGTATCTCGTGATACCGTCTAGGAACTAATAATCGAAAAGCTTTTTGTTACCAAAAAATCGATCCGAGATCCTTAAAAGCTTCTGTTATCTCAGTATTTCTGATAGAGCTTTACAGCTGTGTCCAAGTACACCAGATGTCGTTAATAAATACGTAAA